ATCATTATATTAAGCAGACCTTGTATTATATTTAAAGCAAACCTTGTTGTAATATGTGTCCTCCCAGCATTACTGTACTGTGGATGTGAACGCAAAGTGTGAAGATTTGCTACGTTATAGGAATAATCTAGAATAATGTCAATTATGTCTAAGCCAGCGGTTCTCAAACTGTGGGTCGCGACCCCGTCAGGGGTCGAATGACGATTTGCCACGGGTCGCCCGGGAGTCTCCTGCTATTAGATAGCGGCTCTTGGCCGCCCGGGAGAGAAACACTTTCTCCCGGAAAGGTTTACTCTGCTCGATGGAGCAGAGCAAACCTTTCCCTGCGATCGTTTTTTTCTGACATCAGGGGCCGCCGTAAGTCAGGAAAAAAAACCCACCATAGGAATGCATAGCTAGATTCCTATTGGCTATTTCTCCATCAGGTCCTCTTCTAGTGATTGACAGCAGCAGAGGGCGGGTGCAATAGCTAGTTTGCTATTGCAAAATGAAATAGCCAATAGGAATCTAGCTATGCATTCCTACGGTGGTTTTTTTTTTTTTTATTCTGACAGCGTATCTAGTTGAATGACAAACCAGACAGGTGATTTTTACATATCAGTGCACTTATCTCAGATTAAGACCTGTTGCTCAATACTCGTCATGACTCAGCAACGCTTCTAATTATATGTTTAGGTAGCATAAACTGCTTCAAGATTTAATTTATCTGAGATCTCGAAATATGTATAAAGTGCAGGCAAAGTACGCATATTTTTCAGACGTGCAGACAACCATTACGAATCAAAGCATTATTATCACACACACAGTCATTGCACTTTCCATTTTTCCATTGTTCTTTTCTTTTCCATGATCTTTTCCTCCTGTTTGTTTCCCTCTTCCATTGCTTTTCCTTGTTACCTGGAATTAGGCATGAGGCAAACTGAGACCTACATTTTTTCAAAGTTTAGTGGGAAATCTGTAGTTTTTGTAGGAGTGAATGGGGAAGTCAAATTTCAGTGCAACTGAAGCCAATACTTTATTTTTGTTTTGGATAGGTTGAAAAGTGATTAGAACACATCAGGTTTTTATTGCCATCTGTATTCCCATTAGGGCAGTGGTTCTCAACCTGTGGGTCGCTGTGTGATTTCTGATGTGCTAGGTGAGAGTCCTCCTCAGCCCTCTCCTAGCACAGCAGTGTCAGTTCTCCCGTCACGCCGCCAGATGTCGCTGCAGCGGCCGTGTCATCGCTAAATTTTGCCGTTTGGGGTAACCACAACTTGGCAAATGTTACCAAGGGGTCCCGGCCCTAGATAGGTTGAGAACCACTAGTCTAAGCAGTAACCAGAAAAAAATCTACTTTTTGTCTGGAACTTTTCCTGAAGTATAGCAGTGCCCTCCTGTGCCTAGAGTTCCACATTTGAATATTTGAGTCGTAAACCTAAGGCACTGCTGGCTCTGACTGCTAGTCTCATGAGCATGGAACTGGTCCCAGATCTGTTATGAGGCTCTGAAATGAAGAAAAGCCCTGCTCTACCAATATAGCTGCCTCCACAAAGTGACACAATATAAAACAAGGAATGGTAACTCAGTCAGAAAGTTCAACTGCAGGAAAACCACAAGCAAATATGATATCTAGTAATTTGCCTTCTGCCTGCCTGTTTTACTGTTCAACAGTTCAAGTGGAACCATATGCAAAAAAATGACATATATGATGCAGTCTATCACTAGCACTAACACAGCAGTCTTTGTTTTTCTGAATTATTCCTGTGCAGTGGCGTAACAACCGGG